CCATCCTTTGATTCCCAGTTTCAGGTTTGAGCCCAGCGCCCAGGTCATCCACCCCCCATCCACCCCCTCATCCTATGGTGACGTGGGACATGGGACATGACCACCCGTGCAGATCCAGTAACCCTTCACAAGCCTTCGTTCCGTCCGCCTCGTCTCCTTGGAAGGAATGTGTCTCCCACCCCTTTATAGCAAGAGGCTGTGCAACTTGCTTGGCCAGTGGGATGAAGGCACACAGACCACAGAGGCTTGAGACGCACCATTGCAGTTGGGCTCACACCTCTGCCATTACTATGAGAAGAATATTCCTGGGATAGGCCGTTGGTCCCAAGCACTGGATGCACCTGCTGGGGCCAGCCAGGATCAGCCCAGCCACAAACACCTGAGGGAGCCCAGCCAAGATCAGCAAGCCATCCAACCATGAGCAGCCCCAGGCAGTCCAGCTCCATGGGACCCCGGTCAGTCGTACAGAAGTCAGCTAGGATCAGCAGAGCCTTCCGGCCACAATCAGCTGACCCCCGGATGCACCCGCTAAATAAACATCCGTATGTGTACATCACATGCAGATTTGGGTTATTCTCGGACCAGAGTAAACGGATACATTAGCAGCAGTATAGCCGTGAGTCCGTCATCACTACATGATTGCAGTGTGACTAAGTGATAAAGAATTGTACCCAGAACCAGATGTGAAATGTACATGCCCCGGGGGGCGCCTGGGGGGCCCCGTCGGTTAAGCATCTGACTTCAGGTCACCGTCTCGAGGTTCGCATCGGGCTCTGCACTGACGGCGTGGAGCCTGCTTGGGATTCTCTCTCCCTCTCTCTCTCTCTCTCTCTGCCCCTCCCCCCCACTCACACGCTCTCACACTTTCTCTCTAAATAAATAAATAAATATATATATATATATATTTGAAATGTACATGACCCAGAAGGCTAAAGACAGTTTTACAACTACGTAAGTTTCAGGATGATGTAGCTGGAGGGGGAGTGGGTTTAAAAGGCTCATGCTCGGGACTTTCCGTGACTTGGCTGGAGTTCACCAAGCTTTTTTTTTTCTTTTCCCAGAGGCTAGCTGACTTGTAACATTGCAACAGAACAAATGCAGAAGCAACTATAAGAACCCAGTTGTCTTCTATTGAGCCAGACGTTAAATATTCTCGGAAATGTAAAGTGATATCACTCTTCTCATTACTTTTTTTTTTTTTAATTTTGGAAAATACAGCATTTTTCATTCGAAATGTTATTTATGTTGGGGCGCCTTGGTGGCTCGGCTGGTGAAGTGTCCGACTTTGGCTCAGGTCATGATCTCACGGCTTGTGGGTTCGAGCCCCTCATCGGGCTCTGTGCTGACAGCTCAGAGCCTGGAGCCTGCTTCGGAATCTGTGTCTCCCTCTCTCTCTGCCCCTCCCCGGCTCGTGCTCTGTCTCTCTCTCTTGAAAATAAACTCTTAAAAATTTTTAATAAAATAAAATGTTATTTATGTTAAAACGCAATGAGTTTCCAAATGTCCATCAGCAGACGAATGGATGAACAAAATGTGACACAACGTGCATTCAGTGGAATATCACTCGGCCTTAAAAAGGATGGAAATTCTGATACACAATACAACGTGGATGAAACTTGACAACGTGATGCTAAGTGAAATGAGACAGGGGCGCCTGGGTGGCGCAGTCGGTTAAGCGTCCGACTTCAGCCAGGTCACGATCTCGCACTCCGTGAGTTCGAGCCCCGCGTCGGGCTCTGGGCTGATGGCTCGGAGCCTGGAGCCTGTTTCCGATTCTGTGTCTCCCTCTCTCTCTGCCCCTCCCCCGTTCATGCTCTGTCTCTCTCTGTCCCAAAAATAAATAAACGTTGAAAAAAAAATTTAAAGAAATGAGACTGGCACTCATATTGTTCGACTGCACTTAAATGAGGCACAGAGAAGAGGTAAATTCACAGAGACAGAAAGAATAGAGGTTGCCTGGAGTGGGAGAGGTGGGGAAATGGAGAGTATTGTTTGATACAAAGTTTCAGTTTGGGGAAATGAAAACATTCTGGAAACCCCGTGGCAGTGACGGTCCCACAACAAGGTGAATGTATTTCATGCCACTAACTGCACACCTAAAATATAGGACATGGCACATTTTATGTCCTGAAATCATTGTTTGCACTATATGCTAACGAACTTGGATGCAAATTTTAAGAAATAAAAAATTAAAAAAAAATTTTTAAATAAAAATAAAGAAATGGCCCCCCAAAATGTAGTTTTTACATTTCTTCTGGCCAAAGCAGGTGGGCGCCCTCTGGTGGGAGTACAGGGTATCGGTTGGCGGCGCAAAATTTCTCCGGAATTTTCAATTCTGAAGAGGGAGGCAGATGTGAGGCAGCTGATATGAGGACTTTATTTCAGCAGATCAACTTTAAACCCTGAACTATGCCTCTTGTCGTGCACATTCACTCACACACACGCACGTGCGCACACACAATTACAGACACAACGAGACCCTTGCAAACGCACACAGACACGATCACACATACAAAAAAACTCTCCCAAAGACCCACATAGGTACACACACAGAGGGACACAAGGGCGCCTGGGTGGCTCAGTCAGCTAAGCTTCCCGACTCTTGATTTCAGCTCAGGTCTTGATCTGAGGGCCATGAGTTCAAGCCCTGCCCTGGGCGTAAAGCCTACTAAGAAAAACAAACAAACAAAGAAACAAACAACAACAAAAACAAGGAGACACGGACACACGGACAGTCACTTACACACATGACACTGAAAACAGCGTATGATTAACAAAGGGGACTTAGTAGACCAGCGCCGTTCTCTATTTTTAAAAAATCGTAATGGAAAATGAGTTTCTTCCCAAAGCCATTAAATAAACGTTGAACAAGTAATTAAGATGAATCTCGGTTGGGCAGCATGCCCGACTTGAGGTCCACAATCCCTTAGCTGAAGTCCTTGGGGACAGACGCCTTTCGGAACTCAGAAGTGTTCCAATTTTAGAAAGGCGATTCTGAGCAAATGCCACATTTTATGTAACACTCCCAGGGGTCTGAGGCAGCCCCCTCCCCACCAGACATGTTAATATATTTGCAGCAACACCCGTGAAAGTTCACACCAACGGAGATAAATAAATAATAATAAATAAATAATAATTTATAATAAAGAAAGAAAGAAAGAAAGTTTAACCCCAAATCGGTATGGAAAGATCATCTTTCCCTTCAACAAATTTACGAATTAGCGCCAGTCCAGAATTAAAAAAAAAAAAAGTAAGTAACTCCTATCAGTTGATTTGCCACCATGTGAGACTGCGCCCAAACTACCCCCACCCCCCCAAAGAAACTGTTTCGGTTGTCACGGCTTTTTGGAATTCGGGACACGGGACCCTCCTCGCAGGCCCCTGGAACGTGCACGTACAAATGTTTCTGCCGTGATTGTGAATCTTGGATCCCGGCCAGGGTAGGCTTCCGGGAGGACGGCGACGCTTTGGCGCCCCCTCCTGGAAGTTCCAGCCCTTGCAGTTCGGCTGCAGCGGGGAGGTCTACGGCCTTGGGCCTGACCCAGCGATGGGTCGCGATTGGCCCAACCGTTTAGAGTAATCCCGCCTTCTCGCGCCAGGGCGTGATGGAACCCAAGCCTCAACCAACCGCACCTGACGGCCCCTGGCACAGGCGGGGGGGGGGGGGGGGGGAGGTCCAGGTTTGTCATGTGACCTGCACCGATCCCACCAAGTTGAAAGAAAGCCCTCCAGCCCACCAGGAGGGGCGAGGCCTCCCTCTCTCCCAGGGATGGGAATGAGTTCCCAGGTGCCTCCGTCCGTGGGCACCCTGCAAAGCCCCTTGGGGGTGAGGCTGCCCCTAAGCCCCGAAAGAACTAGAAACACTGTAGGTCCCTGTGGTGGCCACCCAAGGGTGCTGCTCGGCTCTCCCTTTAAGAGACCCTGCTGCGGGGGCGCCTGGGTGGCTCAGTCGGTTGAGTGTCCGACTTCCGCCCAGGTCCTGACCTCGCAGTTCGGGAGTTCGAGCCTCGCATCCGGCTCTGTGCTGTCGGTGCAGAGCCTGCTTCGGGTCCTCAGTCCCCTTCTCTCTCTGCCTCTCCCCACGCATGTGCGTGCATGCTCACACCTCCCCCACCTCCTCAAAAACCACCCCGCCCCCAGACTTTCTCCCTCTAGTCCAGTCCCTCCTCCCCTCCTTTTTCACAGCGATCAGATCAATGGAGGTGGTAATGACCGCACAACACCGGACTTCATGCCCTGAAGTTTACACTTTTAAACGGTTCAAGAGGCGCCTGGGTGGCTCAGCTGGTTAAGCGCCACGCTCTTGATTCTGGCTCAGGTCATGATCTTGCGGTTCCTGAGATTGAGTCCCCACGTCCGGCTCTGGGCTGACAGTATGGGAACCTGCCTGGGGTTCTCTCGCTCCCTCTCTCTCTCTCTGCCCCTTCCCCGCTCTTTCTCTTTCTCAAAAATAAACTTCAAAAATATATGCTCCAGAGGCCCGGGCGGCTCAGTCAGTTAGGTGTCCGACTTGATTTCGGCTCAGGTCATAATCTCACAGTTTGTGAGATTGAACGTCATACGAGGCTCTAGACTGACAGTTCGGGAACCAGCGTAAGACTCTCTCTCTCTCTCCACCCCCTCCCTTTGGCTCGTGCTCTCTAAAATAAATTAAAAATTTTTTCAACAGAAAGAAAGAAAGAGAAAGAAAGAAAGAAAGAAAGAAAGAAAGAAAGAGGAAGAGAGAGAGAGAACGGAAGGAAGGAAGGAGACTTGTAGACCAGAGAAATTTCAGTGGTTTGCCTAAGAAGCTGAACAAAAGAAGGGCGCCTGGGTGGCTCAGTCGGTGAAGCATCCGACTTCGGCTCAGGTCATGGTCTCACGGTCTGTGGGTTCGAACCCCGCGTAGGGCTCAGTGCTGACAGCTCAGAGCCTGGAGCCTGCTTCGGCTTCTGTGTCTCCCTCTCTCTCCGCCCCTCCCCTGCTCACGCTATTAAAACAACAACAACACAATTTTAAAATAAAATGGCTCAAGTGGTAACTTTTATGCTATGTGGATTTCACACACACACTAAGATTTTGACCACCCACGTTTCCTCCAGGCCACTACCTTGTTCTAGCCACTGTCTCTCACCTGAACCATGGCCGTGGCCTCCTCCCTGGGCCCCAGCTTCCACCCTCGCGCCCCCTACAGTTTCTTCCCACGCGGCAATCAGAGGGTCCCGTTAACACCTAAGCGGGCTCTGTCCCTCCTCAGCTCAAGAACTTTCCATGGTTCTACCTCATTCAAAGTAAAAGCCAAAGACCTCACGGTGGGTCTTTGAGGTTCTGTACAATCTGCCCCCATTCTCTCTCTCTCTCTCTCTCTCTCTCTCTCTCTCTCTCTCTTACTCTTGCCCCCCTTCCTGCTCTCTCCTTCACTCACTCTGCGCACTCCCTGGCTTCTTCATGGTTCCTTGAACCGGCCAAGCACCTGAGCCTCAGGGCTATCGCACTTGTCGTTCCCATGTCCTGGAACACTCTTCCCGCCAGAGATCTGTATGCCCGGCCCTTACCTCTTTGGCATCTGCCCAGGAATCAGCAACTCCATTACTCCCTGTCACCCTGATTATCTTCGTCCGCTGTGCTTCTTGTTAACAGACATAACGTGTATTTAAGTCACTCGTCATGCTTCTCGTCTGTCTCTCCAGCAATAGGTCAGCTCCCTCGAAAGCAGGAAGCTTTGCCTGTTTTGTTCACCGCTGTGACCCAGGTGCCTAGAATAAGGCCTGGCACAGAGTAAATGCTCAGTAAGTGTTTGTTAAGTGCAAAATTAAGAGACAGTGACCAAAAGAGAGACTGAGAGATAAGGAAGACAAACAAAGATAGGAGAGGAGATGGGGCACTGGGGGGCTGAGCTGGGGAAGAAATGAGAAGGGGGGAGGGGGAGGAGGGGGGTGTTGGGGCAGGACGGGGAGGGGGGAAGCAAGGAGAGGGAGGGAGGAGACACAGAGAGCGAGCTGGGGCGGAAAGCGACAGAGACTCAAGAGAGTGAGTCAGAGAGAGCACCGAGTGAGGGACAGAGGCAGAGACAACACTGAGAGATGGCAGGGAGAGACAGGGAGGCAGGGACGGAAGGGGGAGAGAGCAGGGTGGCGCGAGGGAGACACAGAGACAGGAAGAGAAACCGAGGAATGGGGAGCAACGGAGCTGGGAGAAGAGGGCAGGAAGCCAGAGAGCCGAGAGGGTTCAGAGGTGCAGAGGGTCCCCACCTCCAACTCACCACTTGCTGGCGTCCAGAGCTCTGGGGCGACTTGACATCCCTCGGGATCCAAGCTGTGGTTTTTTTAATCCCCGAGGGACAGAGGCGGGTGGAGAGAAGGAACGTGTGATGCCGTTTGAAAGGCTTTGGATCACTGGTTTATTTACTCTGGAAGTACTATCATCGTCTTCGTTTCACAGGACCAGGAAGGTTGAGTAACCTGCCCAAGGTCACACAGCTAGGGAGAGGAAGCGCTGGAACTTGGATCTGGGCATCTTGGCTCCACGGTCAGTGCCCTATGCTTAACCATAAAGGGGTGCTGGGTCCCTGAGTTCCCCTTCGGTTTGGAGACACCCTCTGGGAAGTGGTGCTGGACGGATAGAAGGGAAGAAACGAGGGACACGGAAGGACCGACATTCTCAGCCCAGTCCATATCCACTGATGTCCCAGCCTGAGGGAGGAGGTGCAGTTTCACTCCCCTGGGAAAGTCTCCAGTTCAAAGGAGGAGGCTAGACAAGAAAACCACTACCTGCGTATAGGGTCCAATGCCCTGCCCAGAGCCCGGCCTCAGTGCTCTGCGGGGAGGGGACGGATTCAACCACTTCTGACTCTTTCGGCAGGCCTGGAATTTCTCTGCCTCGGTCCACCAGCAGCACTGCAGACCAGAGAGGTTGTACGAATCTTTAAAGGCAGCACAGTACTGGCTAACTTCCTCTGTGATTTCCAGGGAGGCACAGGCCCACCACCACCCCTGTCCACCCTCAGCTCTCAGACCCCGGGAAGAAGGCCTCACGCCCTCCCAGCAGCAATCCTGACATCTCAGGGGGACTCAGCCTCTCTGCCTGACGCTATAATCACACTAATCCCAATCCCCGAAGACCCCAATGCTTGTGCGAAACCATCCACCTCTCCCCTCATCTGTGCTGGAACAGGAGGGCGGACTTGTCTGCTTCTCTACAGAGGCACTTGTCTTCTGCCCCAAGCGTACACCAAACTGCGAAGTCCTTCACACGGTCTGACCTTCAACTGCTCTGTTGCAGATAAGCCTCTTCTCCCCACCCCAAAGGCTAAGTGTTGGCGATGGGAAAAGAAAAACACACCCGCCCAGGTCAAGGGAGAGCCCACCCGACCCACCCAGGGCAAAAGACACGAGGATCGGACGCCAGGAAGGCCTTCCCCTTACAAACTCGAAAAGAGAGACATCTGGAAAACAATACAACAAACACAGCACCAGGCACTTGGGGCTGGAGTTTATTGCAGGGGGGACATACGGACACGGAGATTCAGAGAGGAGGAGGGCGGGTTGTGGGCTCTGTGCTCAGAATCCCATGGAGGGGGTCAGAAGGCAGAGGTCAGGAGAGGGTCTGCCAGATGGTGGAGGACCCCGGTCTGATGGCAGAGGAGCCTGATGGCGGAGAAGCCTGACGGCAGAGGAGCGAGGCCCCAAGCCAGCTCCCCTTCGCTCCCCATTCTTCAGGATGACGACTCCGGAGACGCTGGGCGATGTCGTGAAGACGGAACCCGGGCCCGACCGGGTACGGAGCATCCGCCGCGGGGGCGCCGGCCTCTCGAGGGCCGGAGATCCAGCAGGGGGTGGAAGGGACGGCTACCCGGGTCCTCGCCCCCCCGCGGCCTCCGGCCTCTCTCTGGGTGTCTGGCGGTGGTTCGGGCGGCGGCTGTGGTCGCTGTGGCGGCGGCGGCGGCGGCTGCGCGGCAGCTCGAGCTGGGGTCGCGGCCCGCCGGGGGCTCCCAGGAGGCAGGA